TAAGACAAGAATTACCAACTTAAAAAAAGAAAGGAGGAGAGAGAGAGAGAGAGAGAGAGAGACAGACAGACAGACATGTGATTCATATGCAGCTTAGGGGAAAAAATAAAAAAAAACATGAACGCTATACCAGAGAGGTAGGTAACTCATTTCAATACAAGTTTTTCCCTGGGTTGCAAGAAATCAGAGCCTGTTACTTTTTCTCTTTCTAGAACAGCAGCGATCTCTGAAGTTTTGGTATATATACTGAGCCATTTCAATTACAGTTAATTTATATAGCATGCATCACAAAATAAATTGCAATGTCTAAATCATACATACCTTTGTGAAGTCAATGTTGAGTCCTGGAACACTAGAAAGTCCACCATCCCCCATAGCTGCCTGAGCTGGGATGACTCCAAAGGTAGGTAAACAACAGAACTCTTCACTGCCTTCATAAAGAAATTTTAGATGGTCTGAATCCTGGGTTGACATTCCCACACCAAGAGCGTACAAAATCGGTTGCAAGTGAGTATAATTATACACCACTGTGGGCAACTTTTGGCCAACATATTTGCTCTGTGGATTAAAAATATATAGTATAATTCGAAGTTAAATGCTATGTATTATTTGATTTCAATTTACTTTCTGCAGGCACAATCATCATATAGCTTCAACGTAATATATTAACGACCTTGCTATGATTACTTACATGTAGGACTGTCAAGTGATCCAAAAAAATTAATCACACGATCCAAAAAATTAATCATGCGATTGGCTGAACAAGTAGGAGGACTGAGTGGACTTGTAGGTGTTGAAGTTTTACATTGTTTTGTTTTTGAGTGCAATTATGTAACAAAAAAAAACCCTACATTTGATTGCACTACAGTACTTGTATGAGGTGAATTGAAAAAAACTTATTTCTTTTGTTTATCATTTTTAGAGTGCAAATATTTATAATCAAAAATATAAACTTTGATTTCAATTGCAAACAGAATACAATATATATGAAAATGTAGAAAAACATCCAAAATATTTAATAAATTTTAATTTGTATTCTATTGTTTAACAGTGCGATTAATTACAATTAACCTTTTTTAATCGCGATTAATTTTTTTTAGTTAATCAAGTGAGTTAACTGCAATTTATCAACAGCCCTACTTACATACCATGTCACAGGGAAGATATTTCTGGAACTGAAGTGGTATTTGGTTTTTTTCCTTTAAATATATTCCATAACAATAAATATACTGTAAGGATGCCCTGTCTATATCATCGTAGAATATATGGCAATAAAGAACCGCATCCTGCAAATTACATTATGCAGTATTTCAAAGAAAAACAACATTACAGTGGACAGCTCAATAAACAATCGTGATTAAAGACCAACACTAATGAAATAATTAGCACCATAACAGACAGCTCATCCCACCTAGAACTTGTGGGTGAGGTAAATCAGCCATGTGAAAGATAAGAAAAAGAGCACTTCACAAAAAGCCTTGTCTGTCAGGTAAAAAACAGAGATGTAGTGTCTTCACCCTCATTCTGAACAATATCCTATTTAGGGTGTCAGAATGCTCCAAAGTGCAAGAGGTGGTAAGTCTGATAGTTTAATTTATAATTTCAGAAGTTCTACCGCCAATTAGAGAAAATGAGAGAAGAATAGGGCGCGAGTTTATTATTTCTGCTCTAGTTCACATCTAAAAAGCGACCTTTACAGAAAGCAAGCCAAAGCATCTGATCACATGCTGTGAGCAAGCTTGTCCTTGCTTTGGGTCTTTTGATAGCTAAAAGATGAGTACCTTGCAGAAGAATTTTAACTTACTGGGTCAAAGCCTGAAGAAGCGGATCTAGTATAGCTTGTGGGATTCATGGAAACTCCTTCAGATTCTATTTGACTTAGCACATCATTCAGTAAGCTTACCGACTCTGGAACAAACAAAAGGGAACAAATGATTTAAAAATAGCCAAAGAACCCTGCAAAAGTAGATCCTTCTTTCAGTGACATATGGGAAAAATAAAAAATGGGGGCAGGGGTGATTCAATATATACAGATTTCTCTAAACAGATTTTAGTTCTGTACCTTACTGATGCCTACAAACCATGTGTGGCAATTACATCCTACAGGTGTTCTACTGGCTCTGCACTAAGTAATGAGCTGTGATTCATACTCTTTTGCTCTTTATCTCCCTCTAACTAGGTAAGATAGGGAACTGCCCCACTGAAATTCCCACTGTTTTTGCCACCCAGTCTCCTGTTCTCCCCCTGCTTCTTACACTCATTTGTCCCCAGTAATTCCTCCCCTCACCCTCTCACAGTCTTCTCCCCACCACCTTCTCTTGCAGCCCCCTCAACCTGCCCTGTGCCCCCATATTCTTTTGCACCCACCCTATCAGTTTCCTGTCCTGCTTCCCAACTCACCCCTCAACACCCGCCCCCCACTCTGATTCCCAGCACCGTCACAGTCTCCTGTCCTCTGCCTGGTCCTCACATAGTGTCTGAGGTGCCACCATCTTCCTAGAGAGTAGTTTAGCCTCAACCCCCTTGGAAACAATGTGACGTGGTGGCCATATTTGCTGGAGGCAGACTGTAGCTTCAGATCCAATGGGAAATGGTGGCTAGTCTGGGTAAAGGCAACCCTAAAGTTATCAAAAAGATTGTTTGTGCCTCTCTTAGGGAGGGTGTGTCTCTCTCAAATGTTACTAGAATTTGCAAATCTGGGGATGGTTTTGTTTCCCCAGCAGCTAACCAACCACAGAATGTCCCTCCCATTTGCCTCTAGCTAGAAGACCGAATCAGTTTTTCAGATGAGAACCTTGCTACCATGATTCATGCTGACATTATCTTAAACTGAGATTCCTGATATGCATTTTAAACGGAACTATGCATTAAGCATCTGGAGACTTATGCTAGTACAGAATGGTGAAGCCCATCTTTTAAGTGGTGCATCTTGGCTGGAGCACATGATACCTATGCTTTGGGAATCTTTGCTTATTAGTGTCTGGATGAAATTTTAAGGTTAGTGATTTGGGTTCCCCCGCACCATAAAGCCCTATTTCAGCAGTGTAACACTAATGGCAAAAAAAAGTGAACATTATTCTGGGATGTATTAGCGAGAGTGCTGTAAACAAGACACAAGAAGTAATTCTTCCACTCTGCACTGATAAAGCCTCAACTGATTATTGTGTCCAGTTCTGAGTGCCACATTTCAGGAAAGATGTGGACAAATTGGAGAAAGTCCAAAGGAAGCAACAAACATGATCAAAGGTCTAGAAAACATGACCTATGAAGAAGGATTGAAAAAATTGGGTTTGTTTCGTCTATAGAAGAGAAGACTGAGGGGGTCCATGATAACAGTTTTCAAGTACGTAAAAGGTTGTTACAAGAAGGGTAAAAAATTGTTCTACTAAACCTCCAAGGATAGGACAAGTAGCAATGGGTTTAAATTGCAGCAAGGCAGGATTAGGTTGGACATTACGAAAAACCTCTTAATGGTCAGGGTAGCTAAACACTGGAACAAATTGCCTAGGGAGGTTGTGCAGGTTTTTACGAACAGGTTAGACAAACACCTGTCAGGAATAGTCTAGTTATTACTTAGTCCTGCCTTGAGTGCAGGGATCTGGATTAGATGACCTATTGAGGTACCTTCCAATCCTACACTTTTACGATTCTAAATGGCCTGGGATCAGCCTATTTGAGATACTTGTGTCTCTCCATGCATTACTGCCGCAGTTGTGGTCAGCAGCAGCATTTGACCTGGATCCACTTTGAAAGGGCAATTGGTAGAGCATTCTCAATGAGGGGCCCTCAGCTTTGGAACTACATCCTCTCTTGGGTACTTTCAGATCAGATTTGTTCATCTTCAGAGCACTTTGCAAGGCAAATCTTTTGGGGGTGAGTGGGGGAGAAAGAGGGCTTGATGGAGGTTGGCTTTTGGGGAAGGACTTTTGTAGGGGGTTGCTGGGTTTGTAATTTGATTAACTGTTCTTTAAATTCACAGCAAAGACATCTAGAGTGTGAAATATGCCTGTTAGTCAGGCACTGAACTTCTTGAGATATTTATTTCACAGTAGCAAGTATAAGTTAATATATATTTTTCAGTATGTTTTTCATGACTGTTTAAAAACAAGATCGCTTTTAAAAGATGCTCTTCAGATGTCTGAAAGGCTTTAAGTAAGCCATTAAAATATTATCGCTGCAATCAGATGTGAGAATGGAGGGTACTTTTGCTTTGTTTTCAAAAGAACACTATATTAAATAAAGGATCAATTTCAACGTTGTGAGCAGTTTGCTCGCTAAACTTATACAGTCAAGAACCCCACAACTGACCAATATTCCTCCCATTTTCTAAACGTACTGCTACAGCAGTGTGCAACTGCTGTGTCTCAACACATTAATCCAATTTAATCTCCACTGACCTGCTGCTGCCTGGCATAGGAAACAGCAGTCCCACCTACAGCATTAGATTTACAATGATATTTTAGCAATTGACCAGACATGACTCATTCCTGTTATGCAAGGTTACATTTTCAATGCATCCAACCAAGACTCCGAGGAAATTAGATTACATTAAATGTCTGATATTTTATATTTAAGTGTCCTATTAATGTTATCGTCATGTGAATTAACAGATTGTCAAATTGAAGAAGACGTTACTACATCAAAAACATTAAAACTAACACATATTTCAAAGTAAACTACTTTGTATTATACAATAATTAATTCTTACTTCAGAAGAATAACTGTTTCTTTGTTTCTAGCTCTATTCTTAGCATATGGCTGGCACTCCATAAATTTACACACACACACACACACACACACACAATTTTATATATATATATAAAATAATGTATGTGTGTGTGTGTGTATATGTGTATGTATATGTTATATATGTTTTTATAAATAAATAAATAAATAAATAAATAAAAGGTTAAAAGCATATTATTTAGGTTGCAAAGTCAAGCTCTTGAAAGTTAGGAGATGCCAGATTTATAGTTGCTCATGCAACCTTATGTCTGCCCCGACCAACTCTCTCTCCACTCCCCATCCAGAAACTTGGGAGCTCCTGCACCATCTGGTGTCTCCAGAGAATGGGGACAGGCCACTGGGGTCATGTGCTAGGCCACAGGATAATCAGCCCAGTTCTGCCACATATACACAAAGCTGAGAACTAACTAACATGCTTAATAAAAAAAATGTTATATTTGTATTTAATAAAAGGTGTTTTGTAAAAGTGTTTAGCTGTGCTGTGGACACACCTTTGCTGACCAATTGTGTAATCTTATTGCTGGGACCACTGCCTTTCCTCTCACAATCTCATCCCAGAGTGTGATTACCCTCTTTGTTGTGCCATATATGGAAGCAGACAATACGCTCTTTGAGGTTCAGACATGTGCCAGTTAGCTATTTGGTGAGGTCACTAGTTCACTTTTGGGTGCTGTAAAAAACTTAAGTTAAAAAAACAAACAAACAAAAAACAAAAAACACATGATTGCCATGTAATGACCTTTAGAAGGAAAATATTTCTGCCCATGCAGAAGCTCAAAGACATAAATTAATCCAGAATTTGAGTGTGTTGCCTAATGGCAACAAAAATTTTCATGTTAAAATTATGTCATCATCATGTTGAAAGTATGTCATCATCCTTTTGTTCCTCATAAATTGAGAGTGGGAGGAGATTTTAATGCAACAGAACAGAACACTCAACTTCATCAAGGTTACGTGAGGTGTAAGTTAGCGTGTATGATCTGGTTTCAAACTTAGTGCTTTTTTCGTTTCTTTTTTAAAAAAAGGGAAATACTGGTTATTTATACACTAAACAGTAAACAGGATATCTGAAATCTAAATTGGTAGGAGGAGAACTCATGGTCCTTGCCCCAGACACCAAAGAAGACCAGGCAGTCTAGTATCAGATGGCTTTCTGTGTTTTTTGCTGATCACTTACTTTCTTTGTCTGCTCATCAGCTTGGCCAGCTCCAGTTACAACCCACCCTCTCCCTCTCAGTCTCTGCACTAGGGATCAGCAACCTCTGGCACGCAGCCCGTCAGCCAGTTTGTTTACCTGCCGGGTCCGCAGGTTCGGCCGATCGCTGCTCCCACTGGCTGCAGTTCGCCACTCCAGGCCAACAGGGGCTGTGGGAAGCAGTGCAGGCCGAGGAACGTGCTGGCCACTGCTTCCTGCCGCCCCCATTGGCCTGAAGCAGCAAACTACGGCCAGTGGGAGCCACGATCGACCCAACCTGCGGATGGGGCAGGTAAACAAACCGGCCCGGCCCGCCAGGGTGCTTATCCTGGCGGGGTGTGTGCCAAAGGTTGTTGATCCTTGCTCTACACCTTGGTCTCATTCAACTGCCCTCCACACTCCTCTCCTATCTCACCTTCCTCCTCTGACTATTCTTTCCCACACTCACTTACCCCTGCCCTAGAATACATTTAAATAAATAAAATTAAAAGTCCCAGCAATTATTTAATTCAAAAAATCCAAAAGAGGGGGGAAAAAGCACAGAAGAACATCATGCTGACACACCATCAGGCTGTTAATTCTGCTTGTATGTTATATCCCCTTCCCCACTCATTATCTTGTCTAGTAAGACTGTAAACTCTTTGAAGCAAGGACCATCACGTTTCTACAGAGACTAGCATAACTGAGCCCTTTGGTCCTCTAAGCAGTAGTGCAACACAAACAAACAAAAAGAATGTAGGGGGGAAAAGAATTAGTAAGATAAACAAAAGTGATTGGCCACTCCCTGATAATGGTCTGGCTGTTTAAAAACATCACCAACAATTTTAAAAAAACAAAACAACAAAACCTAGATAACCACATCCAGAAACAACTAGACTGCTCTTTTCCTTCAGTGACTTGATTTACCCATCAAGTATTATGAGTCAAATTAAAACTGAAAAAAACTTTCTAAACATATTACAGAATG